GCACAGAAGCAGGGGCCCCATTTAGAATTATATTACCAGAAAGAAAAAAGAAAGTTTTTTTGAGCTAGAAGGTAAGACTCACTTTAGTGCTCCTGAATAAAAAACAGTGCCTAAACATGGTAATCAAGTCTTAACAGGACTTGCCTAAACTTCTTCCCTTATTCTGTGGTCTTTGTGGTCCATAACTATTCTAGAAAAGGATGATATCACTGTGGAAGCAGCATATTTTTCTCTCTGTGCCTCTATATAGGCAGACATTTGTGGAGAATATTCTCTTCTGTTAAAACTAAGATTTCCTTTCTTCATCTTCTAAAAATGTTCAATATTGAAAAAGGTGGATAAAGGATGGTGAAATTCATCTTCAGCAGTACCCAGCCCAAGATAACACATTCAAATCCTATAGTTCTTAGATTTTCAACAATATTATTCCTCTAAAAAGAAGGATAAAAACAACCAAACAAAACCAAGAGTGAAAGTCAAACCTCAAAAAAATTATATTTTTTTCTCTGTTTGTTTGTTCAACATCATAAGCAAGACAACTACTATTTAAGTCAAACGTGGTAACTAGATGTATTGTGTATGAATATATACCCAGCCTAACATTAAAAGCATACTCTGCAGCAGCTACAATATTTTAAGCCATTACCAGTGGATCTTTCTTCAAATATATCTTCTAAGTCTTCCAGTAATTACTACTTGTATGCAACATACCATTTTTCTGTCTCGTTAAGAACACAATAGTATAATTAGGTCTGTTGCAACACCCCAAACTGTTTAGCATAACTTGCTATAAAAGATATAAAAAAACCAAAAAAACCCTCTTTTTCTCCAGTACAGGATTAAGACACACTGGGAACACACTTTAAAACAAGACCATATCTCATAGATACACCTAAGCCAACAATATGTGGCTACATCAGTTATTTGTGTCAATAACATCTTATGTGCCCAGAAGACAAATTACAGACTTCACAGAATATGTGTTATGTGTGTGGTGACATTTAATATAAATGAAATTACTCAGTCAAAGTGAACAGCTGCTGTGCAACCTCTTGAACTGGCTAAAACATGAGTGGCTCTTTAGTAACCATCCAGTCAAATGTGCTTCACTTAAGGCCCAGTAAACTGCATATCAGTTGAGATAGCTGAATTCTCTGCAAAGTATCTAGCTTTTCTATTCTAGCTGTCCTTTCTTTTCCATGGCATTTCATCCATTCTCTAAAATTTACCACTAAGACAGAAAGAGGCACTGGAAGAAAATTCAAAAGCAACTGCAACAATTGTGAGATAAGGTGTCACAGAACCCTGAATTCCTAGCACTGATGCTGGGGTAGAAAGACTAAGCAAGCTAGGAAGCTATGAATCCAAGCTATAAAGCAAAAATTAGTCTAAAGATTTTCACAAATATCTTTATTTTCCAGCTGTAAGCTAAAATCCTGTTTGCAAATATTTGATATACAGATACTTCTGTTTTATTGTTGAACTTGTCTAAAGATAGGACAGGGAGGAGGAGGAAGATGAGACTTGAATCAGAAGAAAACTGAAATTCTTAATAGCATCCAAGGGCTAAGGAGTGTTTCCTGTCAAGGATCAGCCTGCAAAGAGTCCAGGTGGGAATTGTACTACCCATGACAGTTTCTGGGAAGAAGCTCCCTCAGGCAGGTATAAGTCAATAAATATTCTATTGCAAAGGAAAGGTGGTTGAGAGACACACCAACAGTTGTGGGTGAACTGCGTGTTATTATAACCCCTGGCAAAACGAAGCTGACAAATGTTTTCACTCCCAAAAGGATGGCATGCATCCAGCAGAAAATACTAAAAATGTTAAAAACCCTGGAAGGAACAGGAACACCAATATGTATATTTCACATCTGAAATCCACTTCCAGTCTCTTATCTGTAGCCATTGAATGGACATGGCTTGTATTTTCTTGATGGCATTATTCCAGTGAGCAACTTTATTGGCAACAGAAGTGACAATCTTTAGAGCAGTGATTAGAAATGACACAAAATAATTTTTTAATAGAGCTCTAAAAGTTGGAAAATAGCAGCAGTAAGATCATTCACAATCACTGATCATATTGCTTTTGCCAAATAAATACTTAAATTACTTCATACTTTAATTAAAAGGAGCTAGTTAAGCAGAGGAATATGCTATCACTCACAGGAAAGGTTCTGAAGCAGCTGGTAGCACAGCGCTGTGCCACTGAGATTTAAACTGCTCAGCCACACCTGGCTGATTCACCCTCTTGTCCCTCAGGTTCCACTGACACTACACTCCTGCCTGACTCGTATGTTTGGCAGTTTTGCTACTTTCAGCTGTTGAGAGATGACAAGTTGTTTCAGCTGCCATCCAGCTGGTTTTGAGTCCCCTGAATTTTCCTTCAAACGATCAAACCCTTGACACATAAGATGTCCAAAATCCTCAGAAAGCAGATTCTGACCTGAACTGAAATCATCATTCCGTCCCATCAGCAACTGTTGCAGGAAATGTCTCTTCTGAATTAAACTCACATGCCACTTTGGCTTGGCCATCTCTAACACCTTCACAGGAGCATGTATGTAAGACCTTTCAAACATACATACAGAATGTAATATACACCATTTTCTTCCTGGAGAGAAATTTGGGAGGCAAGAGGGAAGAGAAAGAAAAGCACCACATGAGAGAGTAGTCATCTTGATTAACCCAAAATGAGCTGATGCTCAGATAGTGTGGTACAGAAAATAACGGTGCAAAGTACAAAGAATAGGGGCAAAAACGTTTTTCAAAATGTGTATTTTAAAAACTACTGATTTTCTAATGCAAAAATAGCTCAAATGAAACCAACTTCTTTGAAGCCTTACTCCATACTCTTTGTGGAAGTACCTTCAGAGGAAAACTTACTGGCTGTAGATGTGACAGTCTTTAGAGCAACTGTTGGTTTAAAAGGTGGCAAGTTTTCAAGATCTGACACTACTAGAAATACAACCATAGTGAAATGACAAAAATGTAATGCTCCTTTGTCTGATCCAACTAAAACCCAAAATTTGTATTTCACTTAACTCACAAGTTTTTGGGCAATCTCAAATTGACCAACTGCTTCAGAAAAAATCTTTACATCAACCCAGCTGCATTTGGGAATCCTAACTATGAGAATGAGAACTATTTCAGCTCAATGATGGCAGGAAGAGCATCAGCCTTACAGGGCTGCCATAAATGTGCTTGCTCTTCTCCAACCAACACCCCAAACCCCCTGCATCATATAAACTCATCATAAAACTTGCTCTCACTTATCAAGACCAAAAATATCTGCTCCCTGACAGCCTCTGGGCATTCATAGGATCATGGTATGGCTTGGGTTGGACAGGATCCCTGAAGATCATCTACTTCCAGCCCATCCCCATCCCTGCCATGACCAAGGATGCCATTTACTAGATCAGGTTGCTCAGGCCCCAGCCTGGCCTGAAACACTGCTAGGGATGGGGAAGGCACAAAATCCCTGGGAAACCCGTTCCAGTGTCTCACCACCTTCATAGCAAAGATTTTCTTTCTAATATCTCATCTTAACCGGTCACCTTTATGTTTGAAACCACTGCCACAATGTAGCCTTCCAGTAGCTAAAAAGGGTTTTATGAAAAGGAAAGGCAATTTTATATGGGCAGACAGTGACAAGACAAGAGTCAATGGTTTCAATTTGTTAGGTCAAGGTGGAGTTGACAGGTCTCTGTGTGTGTCATCTAGGAAAAAAACATTTAAATATGTGACTTTTTATATAACTATATACGTATACCTTTAAAATTTAAACACCAAGTATATTTATTGAGGAATAAATGCCGCATGGAATAAATGGGAACTAACATTTGGGGTTGGGCGGAGCAGGAGGGTTTGGGGTTTTTTTTGAGGATCATATGCAACATGGAGCAACAATAATTCCAGTACTACCTTAGATTCTGGTACATATTACTTGAAAAGCCTCACGATGAATCCATGCCCATTTGTCCTGAAAAACTTCTCAGCAATTTAGTAGCATTCTACATGGATCTCCAGATTTATTTATTAGGATTGACACTAATGCTTTCAACTTCATTGCATTTTATCACTTAAAGAAACACATAAGCTAAGCTGAAGATAAACAGGAACACACAGGACAAAACAATCCCTTTGTTTTCCTCATTACAGTACACTGAAAGTGCTCTCTAATATCCTAACTCTTACTCCTGTTTGCAACCCAGTTTTCTTCTATTGTACTTCTGCTTTAAGTTCAGGTTTCACATTTTCACTTTAAAAGCACCATAATGCTCTGCCCTACCATAATCTGCCCTTACTGCCTGACTTCACTTCATTAAACTCTTCACCTCCTTTCCTTCACATGCTCTTTTCATGCTACCATTTCTTTTCTTGAAGACATCCAGTGCACCCTTTTGCTCATTCTTCCAGATGAAACCCTAAATCCTAAAAATAATTTAAAACAAGCCCAACAATATGTTAAACACTGAATTCAGCATGCTTTCTTCAGTGTAACACCCACCTATGCTCATACTGGTCGCTAATGTGGTGCTATGGACCTTTTCTAGGATTTCCCTTTCTATTGGAAATGGGTGAAAAAACCCCAAAAACTATAAAGAGATTATTTTTTGTGCCCAAAAGTCATTCTGCCTCCTAATTCCTCCTGCATTTTAATAGTAAAATGTCAGTTATGTACAGATTCAAAACAGCTACCCACGAAATAGTCATTGAAAATATATATTGAAATATTCACAAATGCTGTATTAAAGCTCATACAAATTTGATGAGTAGATGCAGAATTTTCCCTAGTTGCAAGTGTAGCATTTGCAGAACATCTTAATACAAATGCCTTTGATTCCCTCAGTACTTTTCATTACACCCCAGCATTTCACATTCTGAATGCAGAGATGGAAGTTTACACTGTTTATACTTTAGAATAATTATTGGGGAAAAAAATAGATACAGAAGATAAATAGTCATTGCTTTAGAGGCTGATTTGGTGCAAAGCAACTTACAGTGTGCTGCCACAGTCGTGCTCCAGGGCTGGCCAAAGGCTGCTCCTAGAATGACACCCGGTGGCCACCAAAGCGAACAGCACGGTGTGATCCCTGCCCTCCGGCCTCCCTGCTGGGCTCAGGGGCAGGAGCCATCGCTGTGGGGCAGCCGGGCACCAGCTGGAAATTCTCCACACAATCTGAAAAATGCAGGGAAAACCTGTGTGGATTTCAAATTGAAATGCATACAAATTTTGAGTAACACATGATCTTGGTTAATTATGCACCTTTTTTTTTTTCTTTTTTATACACTTGCATGAGACTACTGGCTAATGGGTACAGAAATCTCAGAATTGAATTTCTTATTTCATTCTAGAAAGGGCTAGTAGTGGGTGAGTGGCATTTCCAAAGTATGACTGTGCATGCTCAGGATTAAACCAAAAACTGCTATTCCAAAGTAGGGAAGTTTATCTATTCTTAAACATCAGAGGACTGAAATGCATTCATTTAGTGTTATTGGAGAAGAATTCTAAATTAAAGGGAGACATTGTCAGGCTTAAAATAAATTTGGACAAGGTAAAACTGTAGCAGTGCTTCAATAACACATTAAGTTTAAAGCAAGGAATCATGGTCTAGAAACAATTGGCAGCATCAGCAAGAGTTAAGAGCTTCTTGACACATTTCATTCTGATTAAGTACCACATGAGTCAGAGCAGAGCTTTTCTTAAGTAACAGCCTATTGAAAATTATTTGATAATATTCAGCACAGTTTTTACAGTGTTACATTCGTAGGACTTCCAGAAAGTGAAACAGAAAGAGAATATTTATTACTTGTCAATTCTTAAATATTTTATTTCTTAGACCAGAGTCGAAATTCCTGGTGATGACCTTACACCTCTCTTTGTAGCAGCTAGGGTTATCACAGAAGATATTTTCCATTTCTTCCTTTGGACTCATATCTGCTTTGTCTCTAGTAAGTAAAATCAGGTAAATAAAATTTCACAAACATCCCCCACAATGAAATTTTTAAGGCCATGTCAACTCTGAGCCTCCTTAGACAACACTTATACCATTGTCCTCACTGGGCACAGGTGTGAGTGAGGTGGTGGGCACATATCCACACTCTACAACTCCAAGCCCTGAAAACTGCTTTCTCATCTCAGCTGTGCCTTAACATCTCTACTTGGAAAGATAACTGCTAAAACAACAAAGATAATTGTTTATATAAGCATAATGAAATTATTCAGGTATTTTGTCTGAAGCAATAGTTTATTAAGACGCGTTAGCGTACAACAGCTGAAAGAGATTACCACTGAACACAAAACGGCAGGCGCAGCAAACGGCACCAGTGTGGAAACAATGACAAAAATGTGTCACTTATCAGTAAGTTATACACGTGCTTTCGCTGGCCAGCCAATCCTGCAAGAATTTAAAGCTTGTGGCAGATCCAGTGACTGCATGAAATCTAAACAAATAAGAAGCATAGCAATGGGAAGAATGACCTCCTACTGTATTAAGTTTAAAGCCGGATATTGCCAAGAGACATGCAAAGCTGTTGGAGTATGCACACAGCTAATCCTTGAGATACCATGGAACCAGACCAAAGATAGCATTGGGAAGGCAGATGGAGGGTTAAAACCCAGCCTTATAAACTGCTGCCAGCATTGAGCAGTGGTTCAAAGCTCTGTGTTCTACAAGCAAAACTGTGACTGAGCAGCCTTCAGAGAGAGGCTGTTCAAGCATCTCCTTTGATCTTATTTTTCAGTGGATGCAGCCATGTTTTTCAACAGTTGATAGGTTTTTAATTTTTAAGTTCACTTGCTCTCTGTTCACTGAAGAATGAAAACTCATTATTAGCTGGGAAGTAGATATAGTAATTGCCAATGTGCTACTATATTTTGTACTCCCTCTTCCACCTGCTCCCTCATGCCAGATTTATCTGTAAAGCCAAATTATAGTCTAAATGCACTAGAATCAGGTGTGGGAGAACAAATTTACAATATCAATTTAAACCAGCTATAAGGCACCAAAAGGCACAGCACAGTATTTCAGACTGTTGCATTTACACCCAGACCAACTACCATTATGAACGTGTTGTCATCTTTATACAGATTCACATATATACTGTATTAGGGTCAAAAGAGCTAGAATTTTGGAGCAACAATTTGATCTGAGGAGGTTGAGCAATCCCATAAAGAATCAAGAACAATCTTAATCATAGTATTTTGCAATAGTGGTTTCTTTCATGCGTTACATTAAATCCACTGTGGAGAAAAAATTTGTTCCACGTGACAGAAATTCTACCTGCATGTTATTTCAAGTTCTAACTTTCCAAATTCCCTGCCCTTCTCCTCTGTGAACTTCAAAATCAGGTCTGTCTTTTAGAGGAGAAAAATAAAACATAGCTATGCACAACTGTCTTGTCCTCCTCCCTAAATCCTAAGATAGTCTTCCAGGTTCCAGAAGTGAAAGTATAAAAGCAAAGAAACAGAGGCAAGTACCATTCCCAAACCTAGAAGAGGCAGACAAATGCAAAACTCATATCAATCACACCCCTGCTGTCCTCCTAGCTCATTATTAACTCCTACCTATCTGGGAAATCAACCATAAAATGTCGCATCATGTTAAATAGTCAAAGTAAAATCTTTACTGATTTGTTCACTGGTTTGGACATTGGATTGCCTTTACAGATGATCATTTTTCTACAATAGTTTGAACAGTTATAGCACTCACATTTTCTAAACTCTCACCATGAATTGCCCTGGTGAGATTTTGCAAAGCATCTAAACAAACTCCTGTGTAGTTTTGGCAACAGTGAAATTTCTTCTTTGTGAAGGTTTCTTCCATTTTTGGCATGACATATACATTCCAAAATTTGACAGACACAGCAATAGTTAGTCTTGGCACTCACTGTTTTGCAACTCTGGCTCAAATGCTCATTCACGTGCTTTGTTTTAAAGAATTCCCTCTGGCTGTTTCCTTTCAGCACGATTTTGCTTTAAATTATTGTTCCATGACACAATACAAAATATTTTTTTACAGAGGCACAAGATCAATGTATTTTGATACCTTACAGGATAATTCAGATTAATTTGCGGTGATAAAAACAGTGTGGGAGAAGCTGATACTCTCAAAGGCTGTGCTGCCATTCAGCAGGACCTTGGTAGGCTGGAGAAGCTGGATGGAGAGAAACTCTAATGAGGTTCAACACGGGCAAGTGTAGGGTCCCATACCTGGGGAGGAATGATCCTGAGTACCAGCACAGACTGGTACTGGTACTGATCTAGAGAGCAGCTCTGAGGGGAAGGAGCTGGGAGTCTTGGTGGGCAACAAGCTGTCCATGAGCCAGCAGGGCTAAGAGGGACAGTGGGATCCTTGGGTACATCAGGAAGAGTGGCCAGCATGTCAAGAGAATTGATCCTGCCACCCTACTTAGCCCTCTAGTGAGGCCACATCTGGAGTGCTGTGTCCAATTCTACTCCCTGCAAACCATGGAAGGTGAGGAGGTCTGAGGCATCTCCTTTATGAGGAGAGACTGCAGGAGCTGGGCCTGTTCAATAAAAACAAGACTGAGAGGGGACTCACGGCACTTAAACATCTCAAAGGTGGGTGTCAAGATAGCGGTGCCAGACTCTTTTCAGTGGTGCTCAGAGACTGGACAAGGAGTAATGACCACAAGAAACTCTACCTCAACCTGAGAAAGAACTTGTTTACTTTGAGGGTGGCAGAGCACCCTTAAAGTGGAACAGGATACCCTTGAGGTTGTAGAATCTCCCTCTCAAGAGGTGTTTAAAACCCAACTATGGCACCTGCTTGAGGTGACCCTGTCTTGGAGGGCGTTTGGACTAGATGAGCACCAGACGTCCCTTCTAATCTAAACTGTTCTCTGATTCAACATCAATTCATAAGATTTATAAATGGAAAACAGCCCAAAAACCAAAAAAAAAACCACAAACCAAAAAAACCAAAACAACAACAACAAAAAAGAAATGACAACAAAACCTCCCCCCTCCCGACATATTTTTTTACTTAGCTTTCCTGTTGTCCTCTCATATTTACATGCATCTTTTTTTACAGGATCACCATTGGCTAGGACCCCTTTTTAATTTTTTAATTTGTGCAGTAGCTCCTGTTCTTTAAAATACTTTACTGTGCTAGACAGATGCATAAACTCCTTTGTCATTCCATGATAAGCCATATATAACACCTCTCTCCCACCATCACTGATAATGTGCAATGGAGATCTGCCTCTGTTTTGCCCTCCAGGATATGCTTTTCTTTTTATTCAAAGCTGAGCTGATGACATTGCGCTTATTAAATTTAAAAAACAAACACTTTTTAAAGTTCGTTTAAACTTTAAACGAGGAAAGGAAAGAAGAGAGAAATCAAGTAGGGATGAAAAAATTCTCAAGGACTGAAAAGCAGTTGTATTAAATCCCCAGCAGAGACCCCACCCTTACTCCACATGAATGTGGCTGCCATACAAAATTTCTGTAAACATTGCAGGAAGATATTTATACACATAAAGGTGAAGCGTCCAAGGACAAAAGACATCTAAGCTGTGCAATGCAGAAACTCAAGTAAATAGATATCAGGAATTAAAATCCTTCCAGTATGACATCTTATACAATTTGAAAACCTCACATTCATTTGTGGAGATGACAAGAATATTAATTCTGCATTCTACATTCTTGTTCTACATCATTTTAAGCATCACCCATCCCTAAAAGTAAACTAGAAATGAATACCATATCTTTTGTTTGATGAAAAAACCTCAATTTTTAAAATAGAATTTACAATTAAAATAATTAATAGCTAAAAATTTTCCTACTGAGTAAGCATTATTGCACTGCACTGCAAGCAAGTTCGTTAAAGTTATACACACTTAAAAATGCACATATAAAAGGTGAAAGAGACACTGCCTCTTGTGTGACAGAAACAGAACAGACTCTTCTTACAGTCATTTAAACTGCTGGTGCTCTGGAAACAAGGATGCATCAGTTAAAAAACAGGATTTTAAACAATTAGTAGGATAAATCAAATTTAAAATTACAAAAGCCAAGGAATGTTAGTTACATAGAAAATTGGGTTTTATTGAACACCTGGATTGTGCAAATAAGACCTTATTTAGTGAAGGCACTAGTTTCCCCTCTTCTAGCAAGTCAATGACTGTATTAATAGCTACTATTGGTAAACACAACTATCACTTTTAAAAAGACAAGTGTTACCATGGTGACTCTACAGGGAAAAAAGCATGTAAAGTCATGATTAAAAAGGTCAGGAAAGCCAGCCTTACATTATGCTCATTTTTCCACAGTAGAAGTGCTACAGCTGCCTGTAAAATTAATGTAGAACACTCAACATATACATATGTATATATCACAAAGAAAATAAAACAAAACCTGGAGGAGATGCATGGTGAACCCCAGGGACTGATCACCAGCTTGGTACCAAGGTAGTAGTACCAATATACAAAAATTAAAACGTGCTTACGTTTATGCTTTTCTATAACCTGCCTCCAGAGCAGACAACCCCCTTATTTTTACAAAGCTCCCAAGGTGGGACATTGATGTCCTAAAACACTGGCAAATATCCCAGTCAGGTGCTCTGCAGGAGGTCACTCTCCCTTCCTCTCTTATCCCATCCAAAGGATTCATTGTCCTGGCCACTGTAACCTTCAGCTCTCCCGAAGTATAAGGCACAAGCTCACTGTGACAGCTCCCCTTCCCAAAGCTGGGAGGCAAAGGTGCCAGTTGTATTTGTCCCTTGGCTATTAGCAGGCCACAGTGAAGGCACAGAGATTCATGGACAGCAGCGCTAGATGGATGTCTCTGTAACTGCTTGGAGGCAGCTGGTGATACTTAAATGGTGGCTGTTGTCATTCAAGTTCCTGTGACAACCTCATGAGTGATGAAATTGACTCCTAAGGCATTTATATATAACTTCAGAATACACAACAGTTTGGAGTAAATGTGATCCATGTCTGTGCTACTTCTCCAGACAGAAATCACTGAGATTTGTTCCAAGTGACTGATACTAGACTTTAATGTAATTTTGAGAAGACACAATATTCTCATTCCCAAAAGGCAATAACACATGGAATACAAAGAAATTGAAGAAATTCATACCTTCCATATATCAGTACAGCAAAAATTCAAATAAGCCAAACAAAACCACTACCACTCACAAAACAAAGAAAACCCCACAAAAGCAGATCAATGAAAAATTACTCTTCCAGAATAAGTACCCAATGCTGAATCATCACAATTCTCAGGCAAAAGCCTCTCTCCGCCAACAAGGACAATACTACTACAGTTATGACACTCATCTTTTCAGTCTTCATTCGCCCTGATATATTAGAGAGAAGAATTAGGCATGGTGTCTGGAAGGAATCACTCTAAGGGAGGAAAGAAAGTAAAAGAAATGAAAAGCACTCTGGATTTTTTCCCCAGGTAGTTTTGGTGACCAAGGTCTAAGAAACATGTGACAAGTCTATAAGCTTTGCTGCGGCAATGTCATTATATGTCATGGCATTCTACATCTGACATTTATTGAAGTTGTCTTCCTGGAAACAGAGCAATAAGATTGCAGCAGCTCACAAGAAATTGCAACCCTTCAATGGAAAACAAAATTAACTTTATTTTTATTTTTAAAATTAGGTAAGGTGGCCTTTCAAATAAATGAAAAGAAAATAAACTGCTCAGTAAATAGAAATATATATAGCTCACTGATTAAAAGAGACTATTGGCTTAAAAAGCCTACAGCTTTGGTGAATTTTTAATGTATGGTAGCAAAAAATCCACTAACATTCCTAGCATGATTTAAAAATATATTGTACTAAGCAAGTATGTAGGTAGATGCAAGGAGAATTAATTTCATGCATTCTGAGAGCATAACAGAATTGACAGATTAACAGTATTTCTCCTTTAAATAAATGACCAACTGGACATAGCTTCACTTTAAGGAAAGGAGTCATGAAGAAATGATAACGATAATAATGATAATGGCTGCCTATCAATCAGGTTATTTAGGATACAGAACTCTGCAACACATATTACACTTAAGTACTTTGTAATAAAATAAAATTAGGGAACATTCCAGAAGACAGTCTTTTGTAGCCCTCCAATCCCTTAACTGAAATACTGACAATACCTACAAAACTACAGGTTAAAAATATGGTGATGGTCAAGTAAATCAGGTGTACACAAGGAAACACAGAGGAGAAGAGGTAAAATTTGTTTAGGAATATTGCACCCCCTTGCTAAAATCAGTGTCTGACTTGTGATCTACTTTCCAGATTTTAAATTATCAAATAAGTGTTTTGTTACTCATTATAAAGTTGACATTCAACCAAAATCTTTAGAGAAGGAAAAACAAATCTGCCGTGAATTCATCTTCGGGTGAAACATTTAGCAGTAATAGCAAAATACATTATTCAAAGCTACTGTTATATGTACATGCTAAATATATCTTTCTATATTTAGCATTAAAAGTACTGCACTGTGAACTCACAGCCAAGACAAGAATTACCTCTTCTTTGGCTATGGCCACACAAGACTTTTATGGGATGGGTCCAGCCAAATTGTTTTTCAAAAGAATTTGTTCAGCTTTGTAATTTTTTTAAAGATATCAATTCATTTTCCTTTCCAGGACTTCATTAATCTTCCATATCCCTTTTTACATCCAGTGCCACTGCCCTCAGTTCAATTATTCTCCATTCACCGCTAAACACCAAGCTTCAAGTCACTGTAAGTCAGATAAATGGCATGTAAATTGCTCCAAGTTACACTGCACATCATGTAAGATACCTGTCTTTCACACTTCAGGGAGCTACAAAAACCATCTGAAGGTGAGGAGAACAGTTGCAGTAGGACACCTCTGAATTCCACCAACACCAATCCTGATACTGACTCTACTGGGAGATGATACACGTCATGATGTAAACTGGGGTGTTCTGATATTTTAGGTAGAGCAAGCTTCACTGGCTCTCAGCTCAGGGTTTGGCAAGTTCTAACTCACACCCAAAGCAAAGATAGTTTGGTTTGATAACCATGTAGGATCTTTTAACCAAAGATTTCATTACACCATTACATTCAGCCAGGTATGAAGCCTCTGCAAACAGTTTTCATGGGAATTAGCCAACCAGTATTGATCTCTGTACAATTTTTATCAAAC